TCCAAAATACTCTTTTCCTCCATCAATATACCCTTGAGCTCAACAACAAGATTTAATTGTACCACTCTTTGAATGTTAGCAGAATTTGTCTCTACTTATTTTATACACTCACCATTAATTTTTTCCACCTTGTGTACTTGTCTTAACGAACACCTTCCTAACTTGTTATACTGTAAGCTCTTTAAAAGCAGGGGTTACATGTTTCATCTTTCTCTTGGCCACTTCTTTGGCCTTTTGCCCATCTCCACCTCCAAAACTCCTACAGGTCCTATCACACAGTTTATTTATTTAATTTTCAGATTCTGATATTCTCTAATAGGCTCCTAAGATGATGAGTGAATTTTTTTTCTTCTATGAGTCTTTTTTCAAACTTTATTCAGATATAACACTTGATATGAAAGTGAAAAACAGAAGTGTTTAGCTTCTCAGTCATTTCTGGCTCTTTTGAGACTCTGTGGACTATAGCCCGCTGGGCTCCTCTGTTCATGGAACTCTCCAGGCAAAAATACTGGAGTGGATAACCATTTCCTCTTCCAGGGGATCTTCCTTACCATCTGAACCACCATGTATACATTGTGAAAGTATCCTCATCAAATTGATGAACACATCCATCACTTCTTATACTTATCTTTTCTGTTTATTTTGAGAACAAGATAAATTCTACTTTCTTAGGAAATCTCAGAGATACAATATGTTAATCAACTGTCACTGTGTTACACATTTGCTCTTCAGATCTTATTCATCTTACCTGCGAAAATTTGTACCTTTTTGCCACCTTCTTTCTATTTCTCCCACACCCCTCTACCAGCCTCTGGCATCCATCATTTTATTCTCTGTTTCTATGAATTCAATTTTTTTTTTATTGCTCATATAAGTGAGATCATACAGTGTTTGTTTTTCTCTGTCTGGCTTGTCTTACTTAATGTAATGCCCTATGGGTTCACCCATATTGTCACAGATGGCAGGGTTTCCTTCTATTTCAAGGCTGAATAATATAAATTTGTATATATATGTACAACTGTAATGAATTCATTAATTAGTTCTAAGGGTTTTTTAGGTGGAGTCTTTGGGGGTTTTACATATAATATGATATCATCAGCAGATAGAGATAATTTACTTTTTCCTTTTCAATTTAGATGCATTTTATATCTTTTTCTTGCCTAATTGCTCTGGCTAGGGTTTCCAGTACCACATTGAATAAAAGTGGCAAGGATGGGCATCCTTGTCTTGGTTCTGATCTTAGAGGAAAAGTGTTTAGCTTTTCACTATTGAATAATATTAGTGTGGGCTTGTGAAGGATGACTCTTACTAATTCTTTTTCTTAATGATTATTTGTTGAGATAAATAGAATTGGAAGTTCTAGTATGAAACGATGGTGATATAATAGATGCACAAAGTAGAGAGATAGCTCAGAGAACGGAGGGACAGATAATACTGAAAAAGGAAGAACTTCCAGGGGAGTCTCCCCAGAATGAATGGCATTTGAGCTGAGTTATGAGGGAAGGACAAAGAACATGAGGGAATAAGAAATGAGAAAAGAACTTCCCATGAAGAGCTGTTCAACTCCCCATCCAACAAATTCTTGATGTGGTGGTGGTGGTTTAGTCACTAAGTCATGTTCGACTCTTGTGACCCTATGGATCGTAACCCGCCAGGCTTCTCTGTCCACGGGATTTCCCAGGCAAGAATACAGGAGTGGGCTGCCATTTCCTTCTCCAGGGGATCTTCCTGACTCAGGGATCGATCCCAGGTCTCCTGAAGCTCAGGTGAACACCTTACTGCTGAGCCACCAAGGAAGCTGTTTGCCCTTTTTCTGTGGCTGGCACAGAACAATTTGCTGGATTTAAAATAGTTAATAAGACCAAGTTGGCTACAAAAGTATGAAACAAATTGCAAAAACGGTCACTCTGAAAGGGAATCAAATATTGAAAAGCTCTTTAAATACCTTGGCCACTGTTTCTCACATGTAAAATATAAATCATAATAATGATAATAAAAATACCTAATTCACAGTGTTATGAGGAAGGTCAGGGAGATAAAATGGAGGAAAGAGATCATACACTTCAAAATTATCTCTAAATGCCAGTTCTTCTCAGCCAGTAGAGAATAACTCTCATTATCACAGGACTCATAATTACCTTTAATTGCATATATCTTACATATAATACTCTTAAAAACTGAAGGAAAAAGAAATCACTGTGTAACACAAGTGGTAGGTTCTGAACTGAATCAGCAGGCAAGTTGAAATTATGAATCTAGTATAAGAAAGTGAGAGATAAATGACCTGATATGTCCTGGGCTATCTTTAGCAAAAGTGGGAATTTCATTTAGGCAGTAATTAATTATAGGTGCCCCAACATTTTCATTTGTTATGATTAACTTGGCTTGGGTGATCCATCTTGGGTGTCAGCTCCAGGAGATAGGTGGGATTTTCAGTCTGAGATGGAAATCATTTCAAAATTAATCAATCCTTAGCCCTTCCCTGATGACAGCATTTCCCTGTTACCAGGTCTTGAAGCTTGATTAGCAAGCTGGATATTTTATGTACATTACACAGTAGCAAAAGGAATACCATGAATTATTTCATAAAAGTTTAACCTAGTGTTGAGACTAAGGCAAAATATCTCTTCTTTGGTTTTGGGGGAAAAAAAAGAAGGAAAGCTGATGCAAGAATCATCTCCGCCTGTCCTCTTGGCTTACATCCTTCCACAAATGCTGGCTTCCTTGCTCTTTTCCAATAGATCAGGCATGTCCATCTCTTAGACGGTTTGTACTTATTCCCTTGGCCTGGAATGTCCTTCCTGTCTGTACCCTTTATGTTTGTGAGGTCTCTCCTTGCCAAGTCATTTAGAATAGAATAAATCATCCCCCTTTCAAGTACTTCCTGTCCTCCTTCCCTCCTTTGTTTCTTCTCCACAGCTCTGATCAGACAAATGATATGATGATTTCACTTCTTAATTGTTTACTGTCCGTCTCCTCCTATCAATGCACACTTGTATGAAGGCAGAGGTTCCGTCCCCCTGTTCCTTGCTGCATTTCTCAAAGGAGAGCGATGCTTGCCACAGAGAAACCACTTGTCACAGAGCTTGGGAATAAATGAATGAAACTTTACATGTGATGTTCTTATCATGCTTTTCAAAATATTTCCATATTGTAAAAATTGAATGTCTCCATGAACCACCTGCCAATGCAAGTAGATATAAGAGACGTGAGTTCGATCCCTGGGTCGGGAAGACCCCCTGGAGAAGGGCATGGCAACCCACTCCAGTATTCTTGCCTGGAGAATCCCATGGACAGAGGAGCCTAGCGGGCTATGGTTCATAGTGTCGCAAAGAGTCAGACATGACTGAAGCGACTTAGTATGCATGCACACATGACATTTCTGATTTTCAGCATAACCATAACTTGTTAAGAACACAAACACTTAAATGTGATTTCCAAGAGATGATTATTTAAGTGCTGGAAGCTTCATTGTTTATTTTAAAATTTAGGTTTGAGTTTAAAATTCAACATATCCCCAAAGACAATAAAATGGGGAGAATGATAGATTAAAATAATTACCCTTTTCTAACAGAATAAAAGGAAATAGAGTCCATTTACTCATCCCTCAATTAAAATATCTTGGAGCACCTAAAAGTGGTTTGCCTATTTCATGACCTGGAAGAAAGCCTTAATGTGTAAGTTGAAATGGCTTACCCTGTAGTTTCTTTGTGGGTAATACTGAGCATTAAGGATACACTATTGGGGGAGGGATGCGGGAGGGGGGATCGGGATGGGGAACACATAAATCCATGGCTGATTCATGTCAACGTATGGCAAAAACCACTACAATATTGTAAGGTAATTAGCCTCCAACTAATAAAAATAAATGAAAAAAAAAAAAGGATACACTATTGGAATTGGAAGACCACTTTAATATAGTTCTGCTATATCCTAAAGGAAATCAGTCCTGAATATTCATTGGAAGGACTGATGCTGAAGTTGAAACTCCAATACTTGGCCACCTGATGTGAAGAACTGACTCACTGGAAAAGACCCTGATGCTGGGAAAGATTGAAGGCAGGAGAAGGGGACAACAGAGTATGAGATGGTTGGATGACACCACCGACTCGATAGACATGAGTTTGAGCAAGTTCTGGGAGTTGGTATGGACAAGAAAGCCAGGCGTGCTGCCGTCAACGGGGTCGCAAAGAGTTGGATACCACTCAGAGACTGAACTGAACTGATTAACTCTCTGAATCACATTAGTCAGGCAAACTTTTTTTCTGAGTATCTATGTCTCTCTCTATTAAATAATATTAATAGTGCAGGACCTCTACATTCCTTCTCAAAGCAAAATACTAGATTTTAACAACAGGAGGTAGGGCAGAGCCAAGCACTTAAGCTTCTCAATAAACCCTTCTTGGTTAGCAAACCTGAATCTCTTCTTTCACCCGAGTGGGGAGCAGCTCCTGCAGCTGCTAGAGGTAATCCTCGTGCCCGAGAGTGAGCAGCATGGAGTAGTCCGGGTGGAAGAAGATGCAGAGAACACAAACGCGTTAGGGGCTGGAGGATAAACACCCTCCTACGGCCGGCAGCCCTTACGCAGGCTGGTAATGGGGTTCTGGCGCCACCTGGTGATTCTTCTCAAAATTTCCCTGCAGCTCCGAGGACCCGCGTGACAGGCTTTTTTTTCTGAAAAACACCCTTCAAATGAAGGCTCATCTGATGAGTCCATGAAACTGAAAAGATTTACTAATGGCGTCAAATATATAGCTCAGAGAATGGGAGAGGAAGCAAGTCTATTCTAAGAAAGATAAAGAAATGAAGAACAAGTGGCCCAAGTATTGCCTTTTCAAACAGTATTCCGGTGGTGGCCAATTGTAAACCTGAGATGTTCTCTGTCTGGTTGAAACAGTTCAGTAATTTAATTTTTTATCACTGGTTTGCATTCACAGCAACACAATTTGCTGTGCTTCTTTTGAGGCTTGATACGTGTGGAAGGCAGAGGAGCACAGAGGATGTGCAGGCCCCAGGCAGCTCCATTCGGGCTTTTCCCCCAGAAGTGCACCGCGGACCGAGGGCGGCGGTTCTCCCTTGAGAAGTGCTGCGAGTGTTACAGGAGCTCACAAGCGGAAGCACACGCTGTGTGCACGGGGCGCCGGGCACACCTGAGAGGTGAGAAACGCCTGCAGGCGACTTATTTGGAAGATCCAAAGTGAAGAAACTCGGTACTGTATATAAAACAGGAAAGCAACAAGGACTGACTATATACACAGGGAACTATATCCAGTCTCTTGTAATTACCGATAATAGAAAAGAAGCTGAAAAGCATATGTATATGTATACACATATATGTATGGGCTTCCCAGGTGGTGCAGTGGCAAAGAAGCTGCCTGCCAAGGCAGGAGATGGAAGAGACATGAGTTCGATCCCTGGGTGGGGAAGATCTCCTGGAGGAGGAAACGGCAACCCACCCCGGTATTCTTGCCTGGAAAATTCCACGGACAGAGATCCTGGCAGGCTACAGTCCATGAGGTCCCAAAGTGTTGGACACGACTGAGTGTGAGCATGCACACACGCATAACCGAATCACTTTGCCATACACCTGAGACTAGCCCTGGGCTGTAAATCAACTAGACTTCAATTTAAAAAAGTGAAGAAAGATAATTTGAGGTGGAAAGAAAGTGTGGGGGAGTGTAGGGGTCAGGAAGGTCAGGATGTCCTCTGTGAGGATGGCTGGGTATACCTGCTAAGGTTCCTGCTCAGGGGTCAGGAGGGCTTCTCACAACCCTAACCCTAATTCAAGGGGCTGGACTTACTGCCCACAGAGGCGAGGGTTGTGGTATATTGGGAATTCATGGGACCAAAGCTTCATGTGAATTCAGTAAAAGGGAATGCTGCCATTTTATCAAAAATTTGCGACCTTTAGAATTAGCTGGAACTCAACTCTGGGGATCTTTGGTTGGAAAGCATATTTATCACACTCATGTTAAGGTTTTCACCTTAATGATTTTTTTTTTTTGAATGGGCAAATATATTTCAAAAGCTGCTAGTCAGCCTTGAGAGAAAATTGGATATAGAAAAAGTAGAAATATATACACTTTGTCTAGAGTAAGTCAGACAAATTAAAGTGGTCTTTTCCAGATTTGTGAATACTTTTGACATTTCCTGTGAGTCTGGATTCAGGGGAATCAATACAATGACTTAGGTGAATAAAAATGCAGTGCCCGTAATAAGTACAATTGCGGAGAATCTGCTCACCACTTTAAAGCATAGATGGCTTAAATGTTTCCCACAGAATGAATATGTCAGATATCAGGATTACTCTAGGAGGATTAAACATACTGGTTATGTTCTGCACTTTTAAAGAGACAACACAGATAAATGAATGGAAAAATATTTGTCACTTTTGGTTATCATTTATCTTTAAATGCTGAAAATTTTGTAATGTTACATGAAAAAGTAGAAATATACATTTTAAAAATTCAAATAATGTTTCCCATTATTTTGTATGTTATTTTGTATGTATGTTATTTTCATGTTTTCAAAACATGCTTTTAAATCCTAGTTTTTCTGGAGAACATTCCAGATCCTCTTGAATCAGGGTGGATTTTCCAGGTGAATTTTATGATCTGGCAATTTGTGGAAACACTTAAGAAATTGCCCTCTCAAAATCCTCATCCAGTAGTTATTGATCATCTCCACAAGTGCGTGAACGATGGCTCAGAGAGCCTGAGTGGCCCAGGTCCCCAAAGATGCTACTGACTTCTGACTTAGGTCAGTCTGTGTGCCTCAGAAACCCCAGCTCTGCCCAGTAGTCCTCACTGCCCTGCAGTAGTGATAAAGGACAGTTTGGAAATCTGTAAATAAAGCATTCCTTTTACAGATCCTAAGGCAGCATCTATACTGGACCATCTATGATGGACAGGGAAGCCTGGCATGCTGCAGTCCAAGGGGTCGAAAAGAGTAGGACGCAACTGAGCGACTGAACTGATTACTGAACCAGGGGATGCAGGAAAGCTCAGGAGGTAGGTCCCTGACTATCCTCTCACAGGCAGGGCCAGGCCACGGTGTTAGAAGGCCTATAGATGTGCATGGGGTGGTCTGGTTGGCTAGTGGGTTACAAAGCAAAGATCTCAGCCCTCAGCTCTGCTGATGATCCCCAAAGCTGATCTTTAAAGGGCTGTAGGAAGGCGGCTTGGGACTGCCAGGCCCCTGATCAGAAAGCATTCATAAAGCAGACTGATGGCCTTCAGAAAGATTTCCTGGGCAAACTCACTTCTTATAACTTACATAAGAAAACTATATGGGTGCTATTTGATACCCATAATGTTTTTAGTTTAGAGATCAAACCAGTCAATCCTGGTTTGATTGGAAACCAGGAAATCAACCCTGAATATTCATTAGAAGGACTGATGCTGAAGCTGAAGCTCCAATAATTTGGCCACCTGATGAGAAGTGTTGACTCATTGGAAAAGACCCTGATGCTGGGAAAGATTGAGGGCAGAGGCAGAAGGGGGCAGAAGAGGATGAGATGGTTGGATGGCATCACTGACTCAATGGACATGAGTTTGGGCAAACTCCAGGAGATAGGGAAGGACAGGGAAGCCTCCCATGCTGCAGTCCATGGGGTTGCAAAGAGTCAGACACAACTTAGCAACCAAATAACAACAATGAATATTTAGTTAATTATTGTTCAAGTTTGATCACTCCTGAGGAATGAATGCATCTTCTAAAGATCAGAATAGAGCCCAGTTAGAATGGGAACATGTATAAACAAAATTGCAACTTATAATGGGTTTTCTTAAAAATCAAACAGGAGACTAGTATATCTCCAGTCTCTATTATTTGAGTTGGGTCATATAGTCTAGTGGGGCTTCCTCAGTGGCTCATTGATAAAGAATCTGCCTGCAATGTAGGAGAGGCAGGAGACAGGGGTTTGATCTCTGCGTCAGAAAGATCCCCTGGAGGAGGGAACGGCAATTCACTCTGGTATTCTTGCCTGGGAAATCCCATGGACAAAGGAGCTTGGCAGGCTATAGCCCATGAGGTCACAAAGAGTTGGAAAAGACTAAGCACACATACACATGTAGTCTACCATATCCTGAAGGTCAAATAAAACCAGTCTCTAAAGAGGATTAATCTGTAGGTGAGAGATTGAAAGTGATTTTCCTTTTCTGCATGGTTTTGGAGAGGACACCTTCAGAGGTTTAGGAGCTGAATTCTGGGCAGGTGACAAGAGACTAGGCTAATGTGCTTAATGAACTTAATTTTTAAATAAGAACGTGGTTTTGGAAACAATCTGACAGAGAAAATGCTCAGATCTTGAAGCAATTACATTAGTAGACCAAGGGAATACAAGATGATTTTTTCATTGTCTGATATCATTTCATAATATGTGTCCAAAATAGCTAGTCAGAAATAGTGTTTTAACTATATATATATATTCAATGTATTTACCATATAGCATATACTATAGTAGACATACTATTCTATATACTATACACCAATCTATTTACCTAACTAGTATTATAGATCAAATATTTTGATTCTATGACTAAATAAATCCTAATTTTTCTAGATGGATCCCATGGAAAAACTTTTATTATTTAGGTACTTGATTAAGTTCACACCAATCTAGCTTTAATTTATTGCAATGTCCCCAAGTCACAGTAATTTTGGGGGTGCAAGGAGATTGAAACAGGGAAGGAGGCAGGAGCCCAGTGTGGGGTTTGCTGAGGAAAATCTCTTTTAGATAAATATAGCAGGCATCACCCAGATACAGAACCAAGTCTTGTTCTTCTCTGTGGAAGATGGAGAAGGATGCAGGGCTGGAAAAGGTCACTTTTCAGAAGGAGAGCATTCCAGCTTGGCTGGTCTGGTTGGTGGGACTGTGGTTTGCACTGGCTTAGTCCATCAGACACCTGCATATTCCATCACTGTAAGTGCCAGGCTTGTGCCCAGCACGGATGGGGGTAAGGTAGAGAGTACACGGCTCTGGCCCTCAATGGATGTGATGCTCCGTTGTGTTGCTGGCTGTCAGACTTGATGGAAAGGTCTTTGAATGCATTTCCTCCTTTGCAAAGTAAGTGAAGTGAAGTCACTCAGTTATGTCCGACTCTTTGCAACCCCATGGACTGTAAGCCTGCCACACTCTTCTTCCACGGGATTTTCAAGGCAAGAATACTGGAGTGGGTTGCCATTTCCTTCTCCTTTGTGAAGTAGGGATAATGGAAATGCCCTCACAGGATTGTGAAGACGATTAGAGATGATGTGCATAAATTTGCCCACCTGATATGAAGAGCCGACTCATTGGAAAAGACCCTGATGCTGGGAAAGATTGAAAGGAAAAGGAGAAGGGGGCAACAGAGGATGAGGTAGTTAGATAGTATCACTGATTCAATGGACATGAATTTGAGCAAACTCCTGGAGATGGTGAAGGACAGAGGAGGCTGATATATTGCAGTCCATGGGGTCACAAAGAGTCAGACACAATTTGGTGCCTGAACAACATATAACAAAATCTGCATGGGCCTCACACAGAGTAGACACTCAATGAGTCATCAGTCTCTCTCTCTCTCTTTCTCTCTCTCCCTCTCTTACACATATGCGCATGCACACACACACACACATACACACTCCAAGTCCTGCTCCAATATAACAACAAACTGTGACCTGTTTTTTTTTTTTCTATCCTTGTCATTGCTGCTGCTATAACCATGATCCACTAGGTCAGACCACTAGTGTTTACTCAAGGATTATGTACCTACTTCCTCATAACTGAGGAGATCAAGGAGGATGACTCATCTTGCAAAGTTTTTTAAATATGTGAAATATTACTCAGCCAGAGGTCATTTTAAAATGATCTACCTTCCAGCTCTCTGTTGTCAGTGGAGATCTTAAAACTTTTATTTGTTCTTAATAAAGAGGTTGTACGGTTGAAAAAAATTGTTTTAAAATTTTTTCTCCAAGCTTCTTGGCTTCAGTTTAAACATTTTTCTCTTTAAAAACATTTGCAGTATGCTAGTTTCCCTGGTAGCTCAGGTGGTAAAGAATTTGCCTGCAATGCAGGAGACCTGAGTTCAATCCCTGGGTTGGGAAGATCCCCTGGAGAAGGAAATGGCTACCCACTCCAGAATTCTTGCCTGGCACGTCCCATGGTCAGAGGAGCCTGGCGGACTACAACCCATGGGGTCACAAAGGGTCGACATGACTGAGT